CCATATGGCAAATGCCAAGTTGGTGTAGGTCTTTCTTTTCTTGGAATACAAGATCAATTAAAAAATTAATCCTAGAAATCAATAGTGCAATTTTGTATATGCCTGCTAGATTTAGGGAGACTATTCAAACAACCTTGTTTCACTTTCTAGAAAGGACAAAAGCAAACAAAAAAAAATTCTTTGAGGCAGCATGGAGGGACCTAGAGAGTATTATGCTAAGTGAAATAAGCAAAATAAGAAAGACAAGTATCATATGATCTCATTCATATGTGGAATCCAATGAATAAAATTAACTGATGAACAAAATAGATCCAGAGACATAGAAGAATGGAACAGACTGTTGAATCTCAGAGGGAAGGCGGGGGTGGGGGTCGGGGGTGGCTGGGTGGGTGGGAAGAGATTAACCAAAGAACTTGTATGCATATATACATAAACCATGGACACAGACAATAGTGTGGGGAAGTGGGTGGGTGCAGGCTAGAAAGGGATAATAGGGGGGAAAAGGGGACATTTGTAATTCGTTCAACAGTGAAGATTTTAAAAAAAGAGAAAAAAGGAGAAAATATATTTAAATAAAAGTTGATCTTAATTAAATTTTCTTTTATTCACTCTTTATAAGTTTTTTAAAAAAGAATTTCTTATTTTTCAATTACAGTTGACATGCAATATTATAGTAGTTTCAGGTCTACAACATAGTGATTAGACGTTTATATAACCTTTGAAGTGATCACCCTGATAAGGCTAGTACACATCTGACAACATACATGGTTATTACAATATTATTGACTATATTCCCTATGCTGTACTCTACATCCTGTGACTGTATTTATAGCCGGAAATTTGTACATCTTAATCACTTTTCCTTTTGTACCCATCCCTCCATCTCCCCTCCCATCTGGCAACCATCAGAATGTTCTCTATATCTGTGAGTTTGTTTCTGTTTTGTTTGTTTTGTTTTTTAGATTCCCATATAAATGAAATCATATGGTGTTTGTCTTGCTCTGACTTATTTCACTTAGAATAATATCCTGTAGGTCCATCATGTTGTTGCAAATGTAAAGATTTCATTCTTTTTTATGACTGAGTAATATTCCATTGAGTCTCCACTCCTACTTGATGTGGCTTCTTCTTTATATCCTTAGTTATAGGATTTAGTTCAGCTAGATTTTAGGCAGTTCCAGTGTGAACTATTATTTAACAGAAAAATATACTTAGTACTTTTATGTTTTGTGTGTGTGTGTGTGTGTGTGTGTGAATGCTAGAACAGCTATTTAAAAGCAGAAATCTAAGAATTTACATTAAAAATGACACGTGAAAGATATTACTAAAGGTCACAGAAGAATATTACAATTATTAATTTTCTCACGTGAGAGGCATGAATATCCCTTTTTAAAAAATAAGTGCTATAAAATGTTATGAAAGTACGACTGAAGTGAGTTCTTACATACCCCCCAAAGTAATACAATGAAATTTGATTATGAACAAATGTGGAAGTCATACTGGTTTTTGTACACTTGTACAAATTAGCAGTTCTATGGGGACCTGAACTTCTCCATTAATTTAATTCGCCCACTTGTTCCTTGTTGTTCTCCTAAGGAGAACATTTGCAGTATTGTTGAAGTGTGATTAGGGCATTACTGACTCAGTAATTTGCAAGTTAAAACTGACCATTGTAGCCAGTCTTCAAAATGCAACCAGGAATTAAAATCTTAATGCCTTCACTTTAATTTGAGTGAGGATAGTGACCCAGTTATTTTAGGAAAAGAGGAAGCAACATTTCCCTTCCAAGGATGCTTTATATTTTGGATACACAATCAATATACAAAGGTGAGATCCACCAGACTTGAATTGGTAAAATATGTAAATCCTTGCCTACTAAAGTGTCAGAGATTAATGTCTAAGTAGGAGCAGGAAGCCCCAACTGTAAAATTTTACAGGGCATGACCATTACTCCATCCGCATAATGGGGCTTGATTTAGAGGCTCTATTTTAAGATCACACATACATTACCAAATGCAGAAAGCCGAGCTTTGTTTAATTTGTCTGGGGCAGTGCCCTAATTTTCTACAACATTATTCACTCCCCTTTCTTAAGAATGAATAACACATCTTCTTTATGGAACTCTGTGCATCTTTCATTTGGGAGCAGTAACTTTTCCAAGCTCCTCTATTCGGTTCCTCTTTTATGACCTTTTTTAAAAATAATTCTACGGGATTAAGATATTTTAAGTTGCATTGTCCTTATTGCCCTTGTGTGCCCATGCAAAGAACAAGCGGTGCCATTTTTGAGGTGACATAACACAGCATTTTAAAGTTGACAGATGAAGGAACTGAGGCCCAGAAAACACAAGACCATGCAGTTCAAGCAGCAGGTGATAGCTCTGGAGCTTTGTTACCCTGCAGGAGAGTTTGCCGCCAAATTGGGAGTCATTGCAGGGTCGCTCTGTGGCTATCCCTTGAAACTTGGAATTTATGCCATTTTGGCAGTAGCTCAGAGGGCTTTGTCACAGACATGAATAACCTGGGGGCTCTTCGTACTTCCTTCCGATTATGATGTGGTACTTTATCATTAAGGCTCAGCCTGTTCAAAGTGCATCTCTTCTGCACAGGAAGTTCCTGAAGACGGCACAAGAAGTGACTCTTTTCTCAAAGGGTTGGCCAACCACCCTGCCTGGAAGTTCTGAGACCATCTTCCTGTCCCTATCATGGGACCCCATGTCTAATTGGTTCAGTCAGTCAGCACACAGAGAGACTGAAAGTTCCAGGCTGGCATTCATATGGCCCCCTTGGTAACTTGGCTGGGGAGTCAGGTAAAAGAAATAAACAAGCATTTTAAAAACCCCGAATTGGGGATAGGAAGATAATAGAGTTCAAATTCCAACTTCAACAAAATCAGTTGTGAAACCTCAGTTACCTCCCTCTTCTAAACCTTGGCACCTCTAGCCGGGCAGGTGTGTGCCATGCATTTGCTCGCCAGTTCACTCCACACACCCTTACTGAACACCTGCTTTCAGCCAGACACTGGGTAGGCACAACTGGATCAGAAATAAAGTGCTAGACGCTGCTTCAAAGGGTTGCTCACAGGAGGTGGAGCCTGTGAAACCAAATGACAACTGCAAATGTTTGTGGCAATTTTGTTAGAAAAGCTAAGCAGAGAGGGTAAGATCATATTTAAAAGGGAAATAGAGAAAATGATTCCTTTTTTTAAAAGCATTTTTTTTTTCATTAGTGGTTTTTTCCTTTTTGTCCACTGTGAAAGGACAGAGGTAACACTGAATTTTCATTTTGCACAGGGCCCTGCAAACTATGTATATTTACCAGTCACTGTCTATTCCCTTCTCTTGATATGGTAGTCTTATGGTGATGTCATCAACACTATAACTTTATGTACTTTAGTTCATTGTCTGTTATCTCTCACTAGAGTATGAATGCCTTAGGAGCATAATCTGTTTTGTTCAATGAAATATCCCATGGGCTTACAACAGTTTACCAGTCCGCATGATATCTACTGGAACACAAACTTGCCATGCTAATGGTCAGTTTTGTGTGTCAACTTGGCTAGGCTACTATGCTTAGTTATCCAATCAAACACCGATCTTGGCATTGCTGTGAAGGCATTTTGCAGATATAATTAAAGTCCATAGTCATTTGAAGGAAGGGAGGCTTCCAAGATAAACGGGGTGGGTTTGATTCAATCAAGCGAAAGACTTTAGCAGGTCAGCTGAGGTTTCCCTGGAGAACAAATGCTACCCTTGGACGGCAGCTTTGGTCCATGCCCGAGAGTTCAGCCCACCCTTCCTGACAGCATCCCCTAAAGATTTGACATTTGCCTACCCAGCCCCTACAATTGCATGAGCCAATTCCTTGCATAAATCTCAATATATATCTCCTACTAGTTGTATCTCTCTGACTTAACCCTGACTGATACAGCCACCTTTTAAGATAGTACAAAGTTGCCAGGCTTGGCATGTTTTTAAATGGGAGACAGATTTGCCCTTGTTTCCTGGTGAGTATTGATTTGTATTTTTAAAACATGTACTGCGAATATTCATACTAATCTAGAAGTTTCTGTCTTTGTTCTTAATTGATCCCAGTCCAATGGAGGGAGTAGGGTTTGGGGGTTTCAAAGTGATCTGGGAGAAAAGCATGGGTCACTGAGAATGAGAGCGAAGTTGGTTTGCTGATGAAGAAGAAAAAGGAGAGGGTGACTCAGATGTTGAAGTAATGAGGTGCTTCAGACACTGTCTCCTATGTGAGGTTTTAGAAGGATCCCTCTGGCTATTGGGTGGCTACACTCTGCACAGGGGCAAGGCTGGAAGTGGTGGGACCAGTTTGGAAGCTGCTACCAAACAAAGATGGGGCCTGGAGTGGGAGTATAGATAGTGGTGATGAAATATGCTTGGATTCTGCACCTATTTCAGAACTAGTGCCAACAGGAGTTGCACATAGAATGGATATTTCCTTAGAATCCTGGCCTGAGACAGCAGATAAAGTGGTTAATGGGGAAGTAGTACATTTCCCAGAGTTCCACAGCCCAGGCAGGCAGAGCAGAATGGAGGCAGAGAGCAGCAGTCTTGTGTTCTTATCATCAGTTTTTTTTTTCCCTTTTCCATTATCTTCAAACTTTCCCCCAAACTGCTCTTCTAGCATCCCCTTTGGAACATCTTCCCTTCTTTAGAAAATTCAGCCTGGACTACATCCCCAGGATTTCCTTTGTCTATGTCACCTTGGAAGACCCTCTCAGAGCAAGGTCATGGGTGACTACCACCACCCCGCGTTCTCATGATGTCTGCCTAAGGACTGGCTGTCTCCCACAGTTTCACGTCAGCAATGTCCTGACAGTGTTTCCCCTCCATTTTGCTAGCATCTCTTGGCCTCCTCTATTAAGACGGAGAGAATGAAACAAAGATTTTGCTACTGGGTTTTATGGACAGTGGCACCACATATTATTCCACATGATTTACCTGTAGCTGGCTGTTTTTTCCCCTTTCTGCTTTCCAGCACTTTCAGACCATGCTGAAGTCTAAACTGAATGTCCTAACACTGAAAAAGGAGCCTCTCCCAGCTGTCATCTTCCATGAGCCCGAGGCCATCGAGCTGTGCACCACCACGCCCCTGATGAAGAACAGGACTCACAGCGGCTGCAAGGTATGTGGCCCGTGGCCCTCGAGGCCCTCGTGTCGGGCAGAGGAAAGGACATGTAGCTTTAAGACTCTTGCTTGGCAATGGTAACAGTTTTAAAGAATGATAGTGTTAAATGACTAACAAAATAAGCTGATTGGGTGATAGTCGTATGAATTCATAACCTGCTTTATTTTTCTTAAGGATATAGCACTCTTCATAATTTGAGGGTAACATTAAAGACCTAAGTTTAAGGATAGGTAAAAAAAAGTAGTGTTCTTGCCATATTGTTTATAGCCCCTGGGCAACTTCACAAGAAAGCTCTTTCCATAAGGATAGTTCCTCCCTTTGTATTTTCTGTCTGAATAATACATATTTTAACAAGCAAAGAACAAAACAAGTTTCTCAACAGTTGTACTCTATGAGTCCTGTGGGGGTAATTTTGCATTTTTGTTTTGCTTCAGCTCTCAAAATTTATACTAATATTCATGCCTGAGAATGCATTAAACACATGTTTTGTTTATGTAAACTATAATGCCAACATGGGGAAAAAAATAACCCTGGAAATTAAGTGTGTAACTTGGATGAGTATAGAAGTCAGCGTAGAGGTAACAAAGAAAATATTTTACTCATATTTTGTCATCAGAAATTTGTTCTGAATTTTGAGGGGCAGGAGAATGCTTGTTTGCACGTGGATTTCTTTTATAACCTTGGAGATATGCTCCTTACTGCTTTCCCCATTAGGGAAGCAAAGATCCATTGACTGTTCCTGTCAGAGTTTTCTGTCCCTTCCCCAGTTCTTGCAGCAGTGATCACATTGGAGCCTCCCACAATCTTGAGTGATGGTGATGTGCACAAAACCTCCCACATACCCATTCACTCCACAAGGACTCAGTGGGTGCTCACTGTCTGCCCGACACTGGGGGCGGAGTGCCCAGCACCCAACAGCATTTTCATTGGGCTTAACTGCTCCTGGGAAGAGGAGGGAGGAGGAAATACAGGTAAAGGAACATCACAGCCAGTCTGAAGGATTTGTGGAGGAATCTTTGTGGCAGAAGGAACAGAGTGTGCTGATTCTCAGAGTGGAAATGGTCTTGTGTGCTTTAGAATGGAGAGCAAGGGGCCAGGATGGCTGGGAAGATGAGAACGTTGTGGCGAGGGGTGGGGTTGGGTGGGGGTTCGAATATGAAGATCCTCATTGTCATGCCAAGGAGTTTTTGTTATAATTACTACCAGAAACCATCAGAGGAATTTAGGCAGGCGCGTAATATGAGTCCATTTAAAAAAGTGATTTTATTTTTCAGTTTCCATTCCATGTTATTTTGCATTAGTTTCAGGTATACAGCATAGTGGTTAGATAATCATATATTTTACAATGTGTTCCCCCCAATATTTCCAGTACTCACCTGACACCATACATAGTTGTTACAATCCTATATAATAAAAGGGTAATATGCAAATTGACCAAACGTTAGAATGACTGGAATGCCCTCGGCCTGGCCGGCTCCACCCCCAAGCGGGCCCTCCCCACCCCGATCAGAAGCTGGGCTGGCTGGCAAACTGCCCACGGCCCCTTACCCCAGTCGGCCCGCCCCGAGTGGCCCCCATTGGGCAGGCCAGGTGGACCTCACCAGTGCACAAATTCATGCACCGGGCCTCTAGTATTATTATAATATTATGCTGTACTTTACAACCTCGTGACTATTTTGTAACTACTAATCTGTGGTTCTCAATCCTTTCACCTGTTTCACCCAGCCCCCCTCCATCTGACATCCGTCAGTCTATTCTCTGAATCTGTGTCTGTTTTAATTTTGTTTGTTCATTTATTTTGTTCTTTAGATTCCACATATACACTTATATGAAATCATATGGTATTTGTCTTTCTCTGACTAAACTATTTCACTGAACATAATACCCTCTAGGTCAGTGATGGCGAACCTTTTGAGCTCGGCGTGTCAGCATTTTGAAAAACCCTAACTTAACTCTGGTGCCGTGTCACATATAGAAATTTTTTGATATTTGCAACCATAGTAAAACAAAGACTTATATTTTTGATATTTATTTTATATATTTAAATGCCATTTAACAAAGAAAAATCAACCAAAAAAATGAGTTCGCGTGTCACCTCTGACACACGTGTCTTAGGTTCGCCATCACTGCTCTAGGTCCATCCAGTACTCTCACAAATGGTACGATTTCATTCTTTTTATGGCCAACTAATATTCCTACCATTTTCTTATCGTGCATTGTTGGTGGGGATGCAGATTAGTGCAGCCACTATGGAAAACAGTATGGAGGGTCCTCAAAAAAAGTTAAAAATGGAACTTAGGACTCAGTGATTTCACTTCTGGGTTAAAGAGTGACTTCAGATGGCAACTGTGCTAAGGTGAACTTCCAGCTTCCCCAGAGCAGTTGCCAGAGACTCCCTTTCAGCTGGAGAGAGTGGATCCCCAGGACTGGCCACAGGTGACATTGGATCCAGTGCTGTTGGTGACTTGATGATATAAAGGAATTGTAACAATACTCACTAAAGTTAAAAGTGATGAGATTGGGTTTTACATGCTTTAGAGATTTCCTTAAGTCATTTTATATCCTGTTCTAGTTGGGGAAAATAGTCCCTCAAAAGCACGATGAAGTCAGTAGGGATGAGTGTAAGGAGAAGAGTTTAGTTTGATAAGGTCTAGGTTATATTTAAATGGGAGGGGGAAAATACAGTTACAGAGTAAGGAGATTTAACAATCCAATCCAGATAGGAACAATCCAATCCACACACACACACACACACACACACACACACACACACACAGATACACACTCTCTAAGAGAGAGAGAAATTTGGTAGGAGAATAAAAGCCATCATTTTTCTGGAAAGGAGTATAGGGTTTAAGCTTCATGGTATCATTTCATTTTCTGTTACTGCCTCAAGTCATGCTCATTTATTTCACCTCTAAAAGGATGTTGAAAACAATAGATCAGAAGACAGGCCACAGGGAGTGAGGGATGCCCTGGTGTAGTTGTGGGGCTGGTAGAGAAAGGGAAATCACGATGATTTGGGCAGGACACAAAAAAACTCTGCCTTCAAGGTGAAAAACACATCCTCGTGGGCTAGAAAAAAAAACGACAAGTTTTCCATCTTTAGAAACCCTGAGGAGGGGCGTCTAGGCGTAGAGAATTGTAAACCTGAATCAGAGATCTGGGCCAACACCTCTTGAATTGCTTTCCAGCTTTATGATTTTATTTGAAGGCAGTAAACCTCCGATGTATCATTGTCCAAATTGTGTACTATAATACACTTCCTACATTTAAATGGACTGTAAACCTATTGGAGCTACAGCTTTTAACTCTCAAGGACAGTGTTGCATTTGTGTTCAGAGTCATATTCTTTTGTTAAAAAACAAAACACACAAAAAAGGTTAGATTTTGAACCGTGATATTTCTGTTTGCATCTCCAGACTTCCCCCAGTGTTTCTGACCATCCCTTGGAACAAAGTGCAGTGTTTCCTCTCTGGTTCTTGCGAATAACTTAGCTCACGAAATGCCAGCTGCACAAGGACCTCTCTCTCGGGCTCATGCCTGCCAGGAATAATGAGCTTGGTGCAGCCCGGGCCAGCTGCAGGGCCAGTGTACAGGGCCGGCACCTTCCATCCTCATGCAGGGCTATGTCTCTCTTTTTGCCCAAGGTCCCTCAATCCCTGCTTGCATACCTTTAGGTTTGGGGAAGGGAGAGAGGCAGGAAGAAGCAAAGGAAAGGGGAGTTGAAAATGGGTTATGGTGAGCCCTGGCCAGGTCCTGGCTCCTCTCTGCTTACCCACCTCCCCTGATCTGTATTCTCCGTGGGTCCTGATGTCATTGCCTGGCCAGGCCATTCATGTTGTGGGCAGCTGGGGCTTTGTGTGTTTTCTCTATTGCTGCCACTCTTTTTTTCCCCTTGCGGTGGAGTTCTTTAACTGCATAGCCCACTGCATCCCATTAAGACACTTCCACCAGAACCCTTGCAAGAGCCCTTTGCAGTATCAGAGATGTTGTGTCTGATTTTGCAGCAACAATGGCTTGTCATTCCTGCCTTCTCCTGCCCAGCACAATGCAATCCTAGGTAGCTTCAGCTTCTTAGAAAATACTTATTTAATTAATAGTCATTGAAAACCTACGGTGTACATGGGATTATGGAGAAAGGAATCCAAGTAGGTGTTGTGGGTCATGCAACTAACAGCCAAGTAGGAGCAATAAGGTGAGTGTGCCGCCCCAAACTGCCAGAGATTCTGACTCCCGTGTGTATCAGAAACCCCTGGGGCAGATTTCTGGACCTTCTTTACAGAGATTTTGATGAGACACTTCACTTAGTGATGGGAACAGAGCTTGCACTTAAAAGCTGACCATGAATTTACATGAAGTGGTGCTTGGACCCTGCTGTGAACTTGGGGACTTGAAGCACAGGATGGTGGGTGATAAGGGCAATATACTAGTGAGTGTCATAAATGTGTACACATCCTTAGGTGGGAGCTGGGATGGGGAATGGCATGTGGGAGCTAGCTGGAACTTGTAGGGTTAAAATGGGTTTGCTACACAGCTGCTCAGAGGGCTAATGTTGAAGCAAGGGCCTTAGGGCCTGATCTTACCTGGGATGATGCTCTGGTTCCCAAACCTCACCTCCTCTTGAGTGAGGCAGGTGACTTGCATCCTGAGAATCCCTGTCTTAGGCCCTGCTGCCCTCTTCCCATTTGCAAGGGTAGAAACCTTAAAATAGTCTAATTTCCAAGAAGAACTTCATGATTGTTAAAGCATATCAATTTTTATATTACTCTTTTTGAGATTCTTTGCAATCAGGAGTGACAGTAGTAGTCCCTTAGCTCTCAGAGAGGATGTGGTTGGTTTACAGTTTCATGGGACGAGAAGAGAAGTTTCTGAGCTGAAGGCTTGCCAGGCAACCCTCAGATGCTACCATTCCATGCATGTGCTAAACAGCCAGCTTAGAAGTGAATTCCAGAAATCTCACTTATAATAAGAGCTCCTGATTTGAATGCAAATAT